ATCGGTTTATTCCAATGCCTTAGCTATTTGGCGAGCGTGGCGCTGACGTTGTCTCTGACGAGTCCTCTTCGTCAATGCCGGTGGGCTTTGATTCGATGACTCTTTAACTAGATAAGAGTCATTGTGAGCAGAGAGGTTGCGAGTAGAATCCTCAGCAATAATCAAGTGAGAGTCTTCATCTGTAGTGTTCGACGTAGTCGAAAACTTGAAAACCTTCTAAGAAGATGGAATCTTCCTACATCTGCATATCCTACCAACTCTGATTTGGACAAATTAGAATAGTATAAACTCATATCCATTGTACCTCTAAGATATCGAAATATATGTTTACCCCCATCCAATGTCTTCTTGTAGGTGATGAAACTATATATTGCTAATAAATTCACGCAAATGATATATCAGGTCGAGTGTGAATAGCAAGATACATTAGTGCACCTATTGTGCTCAGATATAGTACTTCAGGACCAAGCAGTTCTTCGTCATTTTCCTTAGGTCGGAAAAGATCGTTATTAATTTCAAGTGATTTCACGACCATTGGAGTACTTAGTGAGTGTGCCTTATCCCTATAAAATCTTTTAAGTATCTTTGATATATAAGCAGATTGGTGTATAAAAATCCTATTCTTAAGATATTCAATCTGCAAGCCGAGGCAAAATTTTGTTCTGCCAAGATCTTTCATTTCAAATTCTAGTTTTAGGAAATTTGTAGCCTTTTTTTTGAAGCTCTTCAGGAGTTCCATTGATGTTTAAATCATCAACGTACACTGCAATAATCACTTTTTGTGATTTAGATCTCTTCAGGAGTTCCATTGATGTTTAAATCATCAACGTACACTGCAATAATCACTTTTTGTGATTTAGATCTCTTTATAAAAACACAAGGGATTTAAATCATCAACGTACACTGCAATAATCACTTTTTGTGATTTAGATCTCTTTATAAAAACACAAGGGCAAATAGGATCCTTATTATAACCTTGTTTCAACATGTATTCAGTTATGTGGTTGTGCCACATATTGTTTTCGTCGAAAGTCGTTTCCATTGTCGATTCCATTAAAACTTAAATCGTTTACAGAAAATCACAATGAAAATAAGCAAAAAAAATACAACTCTCGAGAAAATAACACAGAAATTATTTATCAACTCCTGCTTTTGTGGGACTTTGCCTGTGCCGGGAGTGCTTTAGCTCGTGGACCACTGATTCACAGATTGTGAGGGGGTTTAAAGATTCTTCCTTTGTTTATCGAAGTAAGAATGAAAATCAGTGAATATCTTATCGATGTAAGATGTTCACTCTTCCAAAGATCAAGTCTGAGCTTAGATCTCTAGGAATCACCAAACGTTGTTTATGAAAGGTGAAAATTCTCTCTCTCTTCCTCAAGATTATCGAAAGCCCAAGTCTTTATGCTCCAATCTGCTCTCTCTCCTTTATTTCGTGTTTGGGGAGGTATTTATAGGGGTAGGAATGCATAACAGTGGAAACGGGGGCGAGATAACTGACCAAACGACTGTTCTTTGGCAGCGCCAGTCCATGCTGCCGCGGCTATTGGCGCGGCAGTATGGACTGCCACGGCCAAAGGAACGGTTACCACCACGTTTCATCGTGCCTGAAACTGTTCTCCCATGACCTTTAACCACCTTTTTCGTGGTTTAACTACTTGTCCACGTCAGCACACGTTCTATTTCTGATATGCCGCCACGTGGGCTTCAAAAAATCATCGTATAACTGCCTTGTAACCGCCGCAGCACCCCTTGTAATAGCCGCGCCATCATAGACTGTCGCGTCTTAGCCGCGGCACCATAGGCTGCCACGCCTTAGCCGCGGTACCATGTACTGCCGTGCCTCAACCGCGCCTCGATATACTGCCTGTTGGTGTGTACATTGTTCTCCCATGTTGTCTCACTTCTTTTTAATGATCCCCTCTGATTAAGAGAATGGCGTTTATCGTCTTCTCTTTGCCTTGAGTAGTATTTGGATATCCGTAAGCATTTTTTGACGCCTACACATATATCCTGTTTGCTTTAAACCATAGAGAGACCTCTGTAGTTTTATCGAATAAAACTCTCTCGGATTAGAGTTATACTTTTCAGGAAACTTTAATCCTTCTGAGATTTTCATATAAATGTTATTATCAAGTGAACCATACAGATAGGCTGTGATTACATCCATGACACGCATTTCAAGTTTTTCACAAACTGCCAAATTAATTAAACATTAAAAAGTTGTTGCATCCATCACAGGAGAATACTTCTCTTCATAATCAATACCAGGTCTTTGTGAGAATCCTTGGGAAACTAATCGCGCTTTATATCTAATAACTTCATTATTCTCGTTCTGTTTTCGTACGAAATCCTATTTATATCCTACAAGTTTTATACCAGCAGGTGTCCGAACAACAGGTCCAAAAACTTTACGCTGCACTAGCGATTTTAATTCACAATCTATAGCATCTTTCCATTTCACCCAATCTTCTCGATGTCTACACTCCTCCATAGACATTGGCTCAAGATCCTCATTTTCATTTATAACATTTTGCGCAACATGATATACAAAAATATCATTGACGATTATTTCATTTCGGTTTCATCGTTTCCTAGTCATAATAAATTAATAGAGATCTCTTCATTTTCTTTAATTTCAGGTACCTGATTCTCTTTTAGAACTAACTCATCTAGAGTCTCACTGGAGAATTTTTCTTGAGCAACATTTTCCTCAACTTGGTCATTTGGAACTAACTCATCTAGAGTCTCACTGGAGAATTTTTCTTGAGCAACATTTTCCTCAACTTGGTCATTTGTATGCTTTGCTGAGAATTTTTCTTGAGCAACATTTTCCTCAACTTGGTCATTTGTATGCTTTGCTCCTTTTCTTTTACGATGATTTTTATCTTCAAAACCGACTAGTCTACCACGCTTTATTTGTTCTTTTATATCATTAGCGGTGATAGGTTGTCCTTTAGGAATAGCAATTCTGACAGGAGCATTAGCAGTTGGTATATGTGACTTAGTCACTCTTTTTGGGTCAGTAAACGCGTCTGGCAGTTGATTTGCTAATTTTTGTAAATGAATTATCTTTTAAACTTCTTGTTCACATTGTTTCGTGCGAGTATCATGGTGAGACAATGATAATTCATTCCAGCTAATTTCTTTAACAGGTGCTTAGTTTCTCCCCCTAATGTTGGGAAAGTGTCTCATCAAAATGACAATCAGCAAAATATGCCATAAATAAATCTCTTATAGACGGTTCAAGATATTTAATTATAGATGGAGATTCATACCCAACATATATGCCTAACCTCCTTTAAGGTCTCATCTTCGTGCATTGTGGTGGAACAATTGGAACATAAACAGCACATCCAAAAATTCTTAGATGGGAAATATCCGGTTCCTAACTATAAACCAATCATAATGGGGAGAATTCATGATAACTTGTTGGCCTGATGCGAATAAGTATTGTTGCATCTAAGATAGCATGTCCCCATGCAGATATAGAAAGTTTTTCTCTCATAAGTAATGGTCTGGCAATTAATTGAATTCGTTTTAGAAATGATTCTGCAAGGCCATTCTGGGTATGAACATATACTACAGGATGTTCAACGGTTATTCAAATAGCAGTACAATAATCATTAAACGCTTGAGAAGTGAATTCACCAGCATTATCAAGTCATATAGTTTAATCGGATTGTCTGGAAAGTGAGCTCGTAGTCGGATTAGTTGAGCTAGTAATCTCGCAAACGCAAAATTGCGAGTTAATAATAAGCATACATGTGACTATCTAGTTAAAGCATCAATTAAAACCATAAAATATCTAAATGGTCTACTTGGTGGATGTATAGGTCCACAAATATCACCATGTATGTGTTCCAAAAATCCAAGGGATTGGGTTCCAATCTTAGCTGGTGATGGTCTAGTAATTAATTTGCCTTGAGAGAAAGCAGCACATGAGAATTCATTTGTTTGTAATATTTTTTTATTTTCCAATGAATGTCCACATGAATTCTCTATAATCCTCCACATCATAATTGAACCCGGATGACCTAACCGGTTATGCCAAACTATAAACTCATTGTGATTAGTTAACTTCTGATTTACTATAGCATGTGCCTCAATTTTGCCAATATTGATGTAGTATAAACTAGAAGAAAATGCAGGTAATTTTTCTAGTATACTTTTCTTACCTGAAACTATAATCGTAATATATAATTATTCGACATTGCCTTCATTTGTTGTCTTAATATGATATCCATTCTTGCGAATATCCTTAAAACTCGATAAATTTCGTTGAGACTTTTCAGAATATAAGGCATCACCAATTACAAATTTTGTTCCTCTAGGCAATATGATATGAGCTCTTCCGGAGTCTTCAATTAGGTTTGCACTGCCACAAATTGTACTGATATTTGTTGCTTGCTTCTTTAAGTAGGAGAAGTATTTCAATTCCTTAAGTATAGTATGTGTTGTTGCGCTGTCGATGAGGCACAAATTTTTGTCAACAACAAAAGGTCCAATCGGAGATAATTCCATATTCTTCATTGAAAGAGTGATATGCGCCAAAGCAAAGAAAATAAATAAATAAATAATAAAATATAGGAAATGTAAAAAAAAATATGAAAGTCATAAATCATATTGCACCTAAAACACATAAATATTGATTAAGACTTTGATTTTATTACATATGTATTTATTTGATAGCATAAAAATTACTTATTTGATAATGTAAACATTCTGCTTATATAAATAATATTATCATCCTTGAACATTATTGCTATCAATCAAATAAGGAATATTTTCCTCCGGTTGGATGAAAAAATCAGCAACATCCAGATGAATGATATCATTAGAAGGACCGCACTCAGTAATGAAATTTGTTCCACCTTTTTCTCATTCTTTTTTAGTGATTCTTGATAGAGCTCAATAAAATGCTTCGGTGTACAACAGTTACGCGACCAATGACCCTTCATTCCACAACAATAATATGAGCTTTCTGCTGAATTTTTTTTTTAGTCCTTGTTTGAGTCCCCTTTATCCTTCCCAATTTTCTTCTCATTTCTCTCCCACTTCAGGTGGCGAGATGGATTTTTGAAATAACCACCATAATTATCAAAATGACCTGAACGACCTCGACCACGTCCGCGCCCATGGCCACAACCACGACCACGGCCTTGTGTTTGATTATGATGTTGATACGTAGTCAAATTCACTTCAGGGAACGAAGCAGAACCAGTTGGACGTGCTTCATGATTTTTCATCAAGAGCTCATTATTTTGTTCAGCCACGAGAAGATAAGAAATCAATTTAGAATATTTCTTAAAACCATTTTCACAATATTGCTGCTGCAGTAGAAAATTCGATGTCTGAAAAGTAGAAAAAGTCTTTTCCAACATATCCTCATCAGTAAATTCGAAACATAGTTGAATTATATTCACGTACTGTTTTATAATCTTGTAAACGTAAGTGCATATAGTCATAATGAGCTTTGGGAAGAATAACCGTCTTCTGGTGGTCATACCTCTCTTTTAGGCTATTCCAAAGGACAAGGGGATCCTTTACTGTTAAATTTTCCTCTTTCAGTCCCTCATGAAGGTGGTGTCGAAGGAAAATCATTGCTTGCTTTGTCCTGATTGAATGCGTCATTACCATCTTTAATTATATCACCAAGGACATTAGCTTCCAGATGGATTTTAGCGTCAAATATCCATGATAAATAATTTTTGCCCATGATCTCTAATGCTACAAACTCAAGCTTTGTCAAATTTTCCATGATGCTATTATTAAAAACAAGTTAGTATATGATAAAATTTATAGTTACAAAAATTCATAAGTATTTACAAAGAAACAAACAAGACAGAATTGATAAGATGTAGTTGATGGCATGTGCATGCATCCAATAAATATGCAAAATAAAATATGAATAACCCAACTAGAAAATAAGATTAAGTACCTCCTTTTTTTAGATTGACTGAAGACATGACATTTTCTTTTTGAATTAATAAGTTATTTATATAAAATTGAGCATATGAAGCATGATAGATGATCTATAACAACAAAAAAAATCTTATATCTTGCATAGAATAAATCTAATATAAATATAAAACTTTATATGATGAAAATCGAACCTTAACTGAATCAATATTTATATTAGTAAAATATATTAATCCAAAAAAAAACCAAGAAAAATTTCTCAATGTGTCAATATGTCCAAATTTTCAATCAATATAATATATAATATAGAGATTAGAAATCTTTACCTCAAAAACAAACCGTTGTGCCACAGCGAGATAGAGTCTCGTGCTGATAACGTGTTATAAAGCTAATGGATAGCAATATGAGCTATCAGAAGAGAAGACATTGAGCACTCAATTCTTCTTTTTTTTCACTTACAAATACAATCTCATGACATCTACTTATAGGCATGTGAAATGGAGATATTACATGCATCATATTTATGAGAATTTACTTGGGAATGTTAATAGACATCTACAATTAGTACTACTATAACTCCTTGGAATACCAATGGACATCCATAACAATAATATTATAACATGTTCTTAGTTCTTTTTTGATGACCCAAGTGGTTGGGAAGTTCCAATATGGCTCCAACTATCTTAGGTTCAATTCCTAGTTGTCTCATTATATAAAAATAAAAAATAAAAAAGATCTCAAATATATCAATTTTAATTTACTCAGCAATCTGATGATGCTTACTAAGTGCTAATTTTAATTCTTTATTCATTATTATTTACTTTAATTTTTATTTTGATCATAAGTCATGCATTTTAATTATAACATTGTGTTAATCTTTCTTTATTGGATCTCAGATTATTATTAACTACAAGAGTAAAATTGTTTCTAATTCTTTGCTTTGTTACAACTGAAAAAAATGACGAAAAGAGTAACGAGAGAGTCAGGCTATGAAAGAAAAAAGGAGAAACTTTTAGGTTCATTCTTTTAACATTTTAATTTGATTTTTTCAATTACTAATGAAAAATAATTATTTTATGACTAATAATCTCTATGTTTTACTTTTTTCTAATTCCTCAGTTTATTACAAATGGAAAAATGATGAAAAGAGTGGAGAGAATTCGAGTGATCAAAAAATGAGAGAAGAAATTTATTAAGTTCATTGTTTTAACATTCTAATTTGATTTTTTTATTATCAATAAAAAATTCTTTTAGTTTTGAATTTGAAAAGTTTGGATTTCAATTAGATCATGCATTCAGTTTTAATGAGGATCCATATTTGATTATTGTCTAGAGCAATCTAACTTATTTGCAACTTAGTTTTGATATTGATAAATATGTCTCGAATAACAGTGCATTTTTTTCCTCTTAGGCTCATGCATAACATCAGATTGTTACGTTTTTCTACTTAAATAATACTCTTCATATATTAGTTTTCAGTTTGAATTTTGTTTAGATATATGCCTACTGGACCTCAAAAGCTTGTTGTTACCAACAAGATCCCACGAGGGGAAACACACTGCCGTTGAAAATTTTTAAACGTTGCAATTCTGAGAAAGTAATTGATACGAGTCGCCAGACGAGCATCTTTGATCGCGGAATTATCAAAAGTGGGTTGTGAAGAAGACAATAAAAAACACACATTAATTGATTTGGGTGAAGGAAAATACATTCTCTAGATTATGATAAATAATAGATTACAATTCCCCCTCTCACAATCTCCCTAGATCAAAGAACAATCTCCCTAGATCAAAGAACAATCTCCCTGATCTCGTTTCTGAATACAATCTGGTTCCAAAAACCCTAGAAAAGTCGTGTTTTAATATATATCAAACACAAAACCTAAAGCGAATAGGAAACTAGAAGTCTGCCCAGCCCGACTCGCGGTCGACCGCAGAGACACGTGCGGTCGACCAGACAGAACGATAGAAATTCAGTATCGACTACAGGATTTGGCAGTCCATCTCAGAACCCATCGCAGTCGACCGTAAAAAATCTAGAGACTTTTCCTGAGTTGTGAAAATACATTCTCTAGATTATGATAAATAATAGATTACAAATCCCTCTCTCACAATCTCTCTAGATCAAAGAACAATCTCCCTGATCTCGTTTCTGAATACAATCTGGTTCCAAAAACCCTAGAAAAGTCGTATTTTAATATATATCAAACACAAAACCTAAAGCGAATAGGAAACTGGAAGTCTGGCCCAGCCCGACTCGCGGTCGACCGCAGATACACGTGCGGTCGACCGGACAGAACGACAGAAACTCAGTATCGACTACAGGATTTAGCGGTCGATCTCAGAACCCATCGCAGTCGACCGCGAAAAGTCCAGAGACTTTTCCTAAGTTGTACACGTTCGCGGCCGACCGCGGCGTCACATGCGGGCTACGGTCGACTGCTGAAAGTCCAAAGTGTTTCCTGTAGTTTTTCCTATACTCGTAGACGTTGTCGCCTTTAACGACTTCATCCACGTCTCTATTCTCAAGATACCATGAGAATCATCTATCCTCAAGCTTTCATGAGGATAGCTAAGATCCTGAAGCAAGGAAGAAGATACACCCGTATCATGGCTCCCCTTTAGAAACTTAAAGTCTCGTTCAAGTTAGAACTGTAGCTAAGGGAACTCGCGAGCCCCTCCTTCTCTGTTGAACTACCTGGCTTTGCTAGGAACTTGACCATGATGTCTGATCAAAAACGACTCATGTTGGCCTTCTTGTTTTGATGATGATTTACAAACAATTTACTACTAATATTGTTTGTCTAGTGTTTGTGCATTCCTATGTATTGTAGACAAACAACGTAGTTGGAGGATGGATGGAATAGTGCTTCAACGACGATATCAAATGGAGGTTGGCGGAATTGTGGAGTGAAGCATCGTACAATTCAAACTAAAGATCAAGTTCAAGCTTCATCCGCAAGTGTACCAAGATAGAGCTTCGTTGAAGATCAAGATTGCTTGGGTAATTTAGTTTAGGAGTTTATATTATGTGTGTTGGTACTTTAAGCTCAATATTATACACACATACACGTTTTGGTTTTTGTATATATAGTTATATATATACATATATGTTTTGGTTTGATAGTTTTCAAGTTTTACTATGAAACAATTGAATATAATTAGAAAACATATTTTTGTTTCATACTCATATGCATATATATGATTTCATCAATATCAATTTTAGTTAATTAAATAAAATCAAGTTTTTAGTGCATTATATGTGTATTTTGATAAAATACTACATTCATTGTTTATAGACTTCATAACAATAGTTTACATCTTTCTTCAAGTCTATAAAATTAATTTGTAAAGTTTCAAAAGTTGGTTTAGCCAAAATGTCAAAATTCACATGTTTACATTTTCGTGTTTTGGACTATCTTGCAAAATGATGATATTTTACATTTGGGAAGTCCTTTCTGATAACCAGTCATTGTAGCATGTTTATTATCATGTCTACAATCATTCCCCAAAGTTTTACATTTTTTGGAATTTATTTGATATTTTTAAACAGTGTTTTAAAATCAGCAAAACAGGTTTTTCATGTGTCAGATTTCGGTCGACCGCACCGGTCGACCGATCCTGAATTCATGTGTTCACTGGGCGACAGAGAGTCTGTCGGTCGACCGGTCCGGTCGACCGATGAAAATTTTCGGTCGACCGACGAATTTTCCGGTCGACCGACGAGTGTTCCTTCAGCTTCCAACGGCTAGTTTTTTGACCGTTGCCTTGGGGCTGTTTTTGTCTTTTGCTTAGGTTTTTGGCTGAATTCTTGGGAGGCTATATATACCTCTATTGCATTCAATTCTAATATATAGAGAATGTTTTAAAATAGTTTAACAAGGGTTTAAACTTGTTTAGTGTTTGTTTAAGTTTGGTTTAAGAAGCTTTTAAGCAATTGAGGGTTTGAGTTTGTGAATTCAATTTCACAAGAGCAAGTGGAGATCATCCTTTGGTGTTTGAGCATTCACTCTTCTCCTACTCTCTTGTCATCTTTAGAGAAGTGTTTCTAAACTCATCTAGCAATTTATTATTTTGATTATAATTTCTATAAGCTAGATTTATATTGAGTTTAGTTTAATTGATTTTATTTATCTCTTTGTACACACACAACCATTGAGCTTATTGTATTTACATTCATAGTATAATTAGGTTCTGGGATTGTGTAACTTAGAGAGTGAGCTTATAATTCGTTCTCATTCAATTGTAGGGAACAAACACTTTGTATTGTGCTTAATTGTGAGGATTCACTTGTAATACACTTGTACACCGAGAGAAGTGTGTAGTGAGAGACGGGGTCGAATCCAAGAGGAGTGGCGTCGGTTGACGTGCCTAGGGAGAGGTTGTAACCGAGCACTTGAGGAGGAGGACACGGGCTAGGACCAACACTTAGTGTGTGAGGTGTGATTACATAGTGATTGTATTGTGAGGTGTAAACGTTGTTCGGGTGAACGTAGAAAACCCGGTTGTGATAGTGGAGATCTCCTCGAGGTGAGGAGCGGAGACGTAGGTCGTGGGGACCGAACTCCGTAATCATATCGTTTTGTTTGTGATTGCATTAGCGTTCTTATTCTTGTTTTCATATCTTATATCGCCTTTGTGTATTGCTCATCATATTACCCTATCACTTGTGTAGATTGTTTATTTTACCCTTGTGTTGTTTATATATCCTTG